AAATAAGTTACATTAAGTTTGTAAGGTAACGAGGGGAAAAAAAAAAAAACAAGAAGGGAAAGACATTTTATTTTTATTTTTATTTTCTACTTCGCATTTCAAAACCATGACTGAACACGAGAGACAAGAAGGACCTCATGTGAAGACAGGACAAGGGTATGAGGAGACAGAAGTGAGAAGGGTTAACAGGGAATGTGAGACAGAGAGACACCATGAGGCAGGGGAAATTTCAGAATGTCAAGGAAATTTTGAGTTGCAAGGAAGACAAAGTAAGTGTCTTATGACACAAAGATAGCAAAGAAAAGGAGAGGGAAAGGAGTAGAGGAGAGCAGCAGGGACTCCTTGGGAAACTGAGATGGCTGCAGTTTTTTAATGCAGTTAAGAAAGAAAACTGAATTAATTAGAGGGCAGAAACCAAAAGTCCAAAGAGATTCTAAAGAGAGCGGAAAAGTTTTAAGGAAGGCAAAATCCCATCAAGGATTTTATTCTTCGGTCAGGAAAGTCAAGACCTCCAGGCAGGGAGTGTTAAAGACTTGGGATAACGTGGTACTGCAAGGATGGGGGTTTGGGAAGGAACTGTTGGTCCAACAAGGCCTGACTGAAAGAAAATGGTTAAATCAGGAAAGGCCTCCTAAAATACAAACTGCCTGAACTGGGGTGATGTTTTCAGCCTCAAAAAAAAATATTGTGTATCACAAAACTGAGACAGTTTTATGTGAGCGTACATGGCATTACAAGTATCAGTGCAGAATGTGCCCCTCTCCGTGTCAAAGTGCTGTCATTGAAACCACAAGAGCTCAAGTGAACTTAAAACAGCAATAGAAATCATTCTAAGAACAACTAGCTTCTCTCATATGTGTATTTTGGAGTCTGCTCCCACCACCTGAGAGATGCAGATTCCCTGCTTTTCTCCCAAGGTCACTGAAGGAGACAGGAGGGAAGAAGCAAGGAAGAAGACCTTTTACAGGATTTATTTTAAAATCATCCTTTAAAAAGTTTTTAAAACCAGATAACTAAAAGCACTGAAGCACTAAAAATATTATTTTTGGTGTTTTCCATCACAGAGAAAAAAATTGCCAAGAAAGTTTTGTGTCTCAGCTGTTTCTCCACACTTCCAAGCTCACAGATAGTCACAGAGTACACGGATCATATTCTTTCTCTACAACATGCATAAATCTGCATGAACAAAAAATTAAGCCTGCCTCAACTTTACAGTGCCTTCAAACACAAAAAACAGTTAGAGCTATTTTCTGTCCCTTGATTGAAGTACAAATTTCAAATTATGGTGTGAAGTTGTATTGACTGTGCTTGAAAAGCAAAAAAAATTATAACACAACCACCAGCTGCTGGACTAAATCATGTTTTTAATGGATGTTTCAGCCATATGCCAGAAAACTTCCAGGAAAATTACATTAAAATCAGACAGTCACTAGCACATACCTACAAATAGACACTGGCAAAGTCATTTAACTGATAGAATAAATTTACACGAATATAATGTATTTCCTTGTCTTGCCTTCTGCAGCATCCCAGACTGTCTCTTAATAAATTTAATCAGACCTGAGCCCGATGGACCTGCAGTTCTTGATAGATTTTTGTGTCAATCAGAACCTGAATTTCTCCTCCACAGGGAATTTTCTTCTTCTCTAACAATCAATAAAAGACCAGTTGCATTAAGACACCCATACTATGAGTGTTGCAAGTATTATCCTTTTTATTGCTCTGAGTTCTTCTTTACTTTCCTGCACTTCCCAGGCTTTGTAGTTTCAGGGTTCATGCTCATACAATCATGGAATGGTTTGGGTTGGAAGGGACCTTAAAAATCACCTAGTTCCAACCCCAGTGTAAGGAGACATGAACAACAAACATCCACATTTCCCAGGTCTCATTTGTCCCCCTCTGGAAGAACTTTGGCACAACCCTGACAGTACCAGAACAAACACCCACACAGCAAAGCATTCCATGGCACAGCAGTTGGATTACTTCACTTAGATGGTTTTGAACTATAAGGACAAAGTGTTCCTATTATGGAGTCATTATGGGATACATAAATACACATAACTACACAGGGATGAGCTTTAGGCACAAAATATTTTCGTCTTGCTCTTTGTGTTTTCAGAACCCAACTCCGTAAATCAAAACTGTTGCTCATCCTCCCACATTATTAAAGCGACAAGATCCCCAACACTACATATCCTTTGCATTCCCATTTATTCCAAAGTATTTTGCAAGCGATACAGTGCATTTGTTTCACACCCATCAATGGAAAGCAAGTTTCCCTGGCAGGAATTGCTGTCTGCAGCAGAACACAACAGCACACGGCAGCGCAGGGCAGGAAACGAGGAGCACCCCAGAGCCAGCTGTGACTGCTGGAGACATTTTTAGGTTGAGGATGTAATTATCCAAGCTGGAACCTTGCCAGGAAACCAGCCAGCAAAACACAGCCTCGGTTCATTAATCCAGCTCTTCATGTCACTGAGCCAAACGTGTCGTCTCCCACCCCAGCGGGGCCGGTCCCATTCGCAGGGCTCGTGGCTGCTGATGATGGGGTTTGGTGCCTCCTGCTCTCCAAGCCACAGAATCGTGTTGAACACACCCCAAAAAAAAAAAGCTGCTCCACTTTTCTGACAGGCTTTTTCCCCAGCCTGCAGCGTTGACAAAAGATGAACGTCTGTATTACTCTGTATAATACAGTTTAAGGTCTTTTTTTATCTCTCTGTCTCTCCCATTGTTGTTTGGGGTTTTTTAAAGTATAGATTCGAAACCAAAAAGAATAAAAGTCTTGTTTTCAATTAAAAAGTCAGAAATTCAGTCAAGGTAAGACACTGTGCAACAATTTAGGCTGATGACTCAGTAGGAGGCTCCTTGGGAGAAGCTGAGTCAGCACCACAGACCCAAAGGGAGTGTTATAAATTCAGAGAGAAGGTGGGCACTCGTGTCAGCACTGAAGATGCTGAACTAGAACTTGGCATAACACAAAACAAGTAATGCAAGCAACAGGAAACTGAAGTAGTTGACAAGTGAAAATTAATGCCAGAACAGCCAGGCATTAAAATTCTACATCAGCATTGAAATTCTACATCAAAAAAAAACAAATTAAATCCTACCATCACAACAACAAAACCCACCCCAAAAAATAAATCAACAAAACCCCCCTAGAATATTGAAATATCATTGTACATAGAGTATACAGCAAGTACTCAACTTGTTCTGATGTACTGGTAACCAAGCATTTAAAAAAACCCAAACCACAGAGGAACAGGAAAACAGTAAAACCAAATATACATACAGCAGAAAGGAGGAAGAAACAGCCTCAGGACAGAACAGACTGGAATATTCACTAATCAGTGCTCATGCACACAAAATTTTAACCCTGCCTGCTCCTATGATCACTTCAGTCCAATTTTCACAAGCTGAAAAAAACATAAATATGAGTTTTGGGGGACTAACTCACTGAAAATCAGTATTTTATGCCCAAGTCTTTTAGACTCCTTTTGAAATCCCAGTTGGAGGTGTGTCAGTCTTGTTCTAAAACCCAGGGCTGATGATACTGGCAGATGGTATCTTTATATTATAGGATTTACAATGGAATAAACCTGAAAGGTACTTAATTCTGTTGCAGTAAAGATAATTAGAATCAAAGTCAATAAAAAAGAAATGTTTTGTTATGGGTATGTGTTGAAAACACATTTTTCTCCTACCACACAGGTAAATTTGAAAGCATCTGATACACATTTTACCTTTTGAAGGAAAATTGTCAGAGGATATCCATGATCTCAAGAATATTCATTTGTCTTTTCACCAACACCCAGATAATAATTTTTTTAAATATTGATATTAGCCCTCTATTTGCAGATTTGGATATTTTTTTCTATATTTCAATATATACTTGAAATCAAAAAGTACTTCTGTATTGCTGCACTATTTGGTTGATAATTGTTAGGATGCCAAAATCCTGATTCTACATTTGCACCCACAGGCTTTAAACCACTGCTCAGATTTAGCCAAGTGAAAAAACAGGTCATTTTGTCACAGAGCAGACTGAAAACCAAGTTGAAAATGAAACAACAAGCTTTGGCACTGGGCAGCCTGGCTGCTAAGTTATATTTGAGGCCACTATGTGGTGACAGAACAGCTAAAAGAGAAAAAAACAAACCAAACACATTGTTTTAGCAAAGTCAGAACATTGTTTATACTTGTTCCTATTCATTAAGGTATAGGTATTTTAATATTTATATACCATGAGGGTTTATATATATATATATATTTATATATGGGACATAAGTTTAATTACATTATCAAAGCATCTGATGCATTTTTTTTTTCAAAAGAAATCTTGGAAAGCACCGAACGAAGCTGTTGCCCCTTAAAGCCTTTTGTCCCACGTACCTTGTTTTCGAACATCCTCCACAGCAGCAACCAGCTCCTCCTTGAGATCCTGGCTCTCCTTAGCAATCTGATCTCCTTTTTCCAAGAAGTTCTGAGTGGCCTGTTCCACCGAGGCAGCCAAAACGTGAGCCTTCTTAGAGCGCCCTTTCTTCTTGCCAGACGGTCCCTTATTGCTCGTGTTCACGAGCGTTGTTACCTTTGGGCAAGGAAAACAAGTTTTTGTCAGTTTGAGCGATTCCCCAACTGCTAATAGGATCACCTAACTCAATTAACACCACTACTGTCTCTTCCCTGGAAGGGATGTAGTGGTCACATGTATTGAATAAATAAAATGTAAAAGTACGAGGTCCAGCAGCACATCCCTCAAAAAAGGGGTTTCCCTTCAACCTCTCTTCAGTCTGGGCTGAGCAAACCACAGCCAAGCAGCAAAAAGAAAAAGATGAGAACCAGGTATGGCAGGGCAGTGGTGCTAAAGCATCGCTTTTGTCACTGTTTATCATTTTTTTAGAAATGAGTAAGCTGATAAAATGGACAGCGAACACACAGGGGTCAGAAACCACTCAGAAATCAATTGTCCCTCGAGATAAGCACTGCCAGGGACATGGAAGTGGTGACAAAAACATCGTGGCTGTTTTCCAGGCATTGAGGTGTGAAGAGCTCCTGCTGCAAAGATTATTCAGGTTCAAACTCTTTGGGTAAGTGTTGCTTTACTGTATTTCTAACATTTTGGGGTAAGACCACAGCAGACAGCGATGTCCTGTCAGGATTTAAACAGAAGGAAAATCTGCTTCCTAAAGCAATTCCTTACTGAGCTGTCAGTAAACTGATTAGAAACTTAAACCACAAAGCTTAACAACACAGCACGGGGGGTACCACAGCTTTTGGCTGGACCAAGAAGGAATCTTGCAGGACTCCAGCAGTGAAAGGTTGCCCTCTGTAAAACAGGAATACTGAACTGGGTATCACTGGGTGTTAAATGCATGAAAAAATAGCAATGGATCCATAATGCTCAGAGATCCAATTCTCCCTACGCAGGACACAAACCAGGACAGCTGAAGTGATGTACTGGTGTCCTAAACCACACATTCACTGTAAGAATGAGGAAGAGGAAGTCTTTTGGTACCAGTGACAGAAAAACTCATGGCATATTAGCTACTTTCCCATTTTTAAAAAGCCAATGACCTAGAGCTTCATAAAAATTGCATGAAAAAATCAGAAAAAAAAACCCCCAAACCTAATATCTTATTAGCATAACTCAATTTTCTGGCAGGGCTTTAAAGCCAACTGGTTTATTTTAAATATCTTACCCCACCTATACTGGTACAAAGGACAGAATGTCTCTGTCAGCTTCTGTAACTAATTCATGCAGACCTCACCCAAAATTCCGTACAATTATCAAATATATCACTTGATAATTACCATAAGCTCATTTGGCAACCCTGTAATGATCCAGGCTTTGTGATCACACTAGGGAACCTTGCTCTCTTATTTTATTAAAGAAGCTTCACACAGCCCTAGCACAGATCTCTGCTGGAAAAACAGAACTTCACTAATTAATAGTTCAGTCCCATCCTGAATTAAGGCTTCCTTGCACAGCCCCAGCAGCACAAAAGGAAGGTGAGGATGCCTTTGCTGAAAGCAGAAAATTCTATTAGCATGGATTTCCCTATGGCAGAGGTCACATGTGGGCAGGGATGCCTGAAGTGAAAGGGGACAGAGCTGAATCACACACTCATCAAATTAATCCCACGTCAGCAGCTCCAGCTCAGAGAAGAACATTCCTGGCTCTGTGAATTAAACTGTCTTCCCTACAGATTTCTGAAATGGGTGGGCTAGAAGTTTAAGAGGTGTTATTCTCTCCCTGCCTTCTCTTTCCTAATTAGGTGCTCGAATAGCATTAGTTACTCAAGATTTTCCGTAACCACATTAAAAAATATACATATGTTGACAATTTTTGAGGAAAATATCAGCATGCCTTTGTTTTTAATTATACTGCTGATCCTTGTGGTTTCTCACTGATCCCTCACAAAGGACAGATGCCTTGTTATCATCCTTTCAGTACAGACTGGGTGGTGAAAGCACTGAGAGCAGCCCTCTGGAGAAGGGCTTGGGGATACTGGTGGATGGAAAATTAGACATGTCCTGGCAATGTGAGTTTATAACCTAGAAAGCCAGCTGTGTCCTGGGTGGCAGCAAAAGCCCAGCCAGCAGGTCAAGGGATGTGATTCTACTTCTTTCTTGTGAGACCTGGAGCACTTAGTCCAGCTCTGAGGTGCCCAGCACAGGTAAGACACAGAGTTGCTGGAGCAAGTCCAGAGGAGGCCAAAAAGATGCTCTGAGGGCTGGAGCCCCTCTGCTCTGGAGCCAGCCTGGGAGAGCTGGGAGTGTTCACATGGAGAAGAGAAGGCTCCAGGGAGAGCTGAGAGCCCCTTGCAGGGCCTAAAGGGGCTCCAGGAGAGCTGGAGAGGGACTGGACAAGGGCCTGGAGTTATGGGACAAGGGGGAATGGCTTTAAACTGAAAGAGATTTATATTTAGATTAGATATAAGGAAGTTGAGTTTTTTTGATTATGAGGGTGGTGAGACCCTGGAACAGGTTACCCAGAAAGTTGTGGATGCCCCATCACTGGACATATTCAACGTGAGGTTGGATGGGGCTCTGAGCAACTTATCCAAGCGAAACATGTCCCAGCACATGGCAGGGGGACTGGACCAAATGTTCTTTAAAGGTCTCTGCCAGCCCAAATCATTCTGTGATTCTACAGTTTTTAAATATCAATGACAGAGGCTGATGGAGTTTCTCTGAGGGTGGGCAGCATTTATATGTTTCTTTGTTTTTATAAAATCAAAGCAGGTAAATCAAACAAAACTCTGCAAACGTGTACATGACGAAAACCATCCACACAAATATTTTGGTTTGGTTGTGACAGGTGAAATCAGTGTAAAAGGGTTTCTCTGAAATATCATTAACTATTTGCCAAAAAAAAAAATAAAAAATTCACTATTTTCCCATATGCACATTGCATTTTTAAGTAAATATTACTTGTTCTTCCCAGTGGCATTTCCTGAATGTGAAGAGCTACAAGTTATTCCTCTCTTCTCATACACTCATATATCACCAGCTGCTGGAAACACTCAATGAGCTCAGAAAAGACAGCCCTGACATTTCAGTGTTTGGGCCCTTTCACTTCGAGATATAAGGCTGCCCTTCCACTCGAGTGCACTCCCTCATTGCCTCATTGCTCGTACTAATGAGATCCCCCTGAGCACTGTTTTTCAAAACCCTCCTGTCTCCAGAGGAAGTTTGTTACATCAAAAAAAAATAAAAATCACTACAACTGTCTGGAAAACAAGAACTTCATTTCTTCATTTTTCCGAACTGTTTCTTGGCTGGATTTGCCCTTTTTTGTCTCCTCCGGCATCAGGATGAAGGAGAGACCTTTCAAAATACTTTGTGAGAGAAGCAGATTGTGTTATGGGTTAAAGCACCAGCACCAGATTCAATTCCTTGCTCAAAGTGAGGTAGAGAACAGACCTGAGCTCTGTCATGTTTGTGACCTTCTTCATTTTGACCATCCAGAAGCAGAGCAAACACGTGTGGAACTTGAAATATTCCTGGCTCTGCACACCAGAGACTGACTTTGTGATGTGGCTCTCAGCAGTGGTTCATTAGCTGATCCTCATCCAACTCCAAGGTATTATTGAGCAAAACACTGGAGAAAATGCTCTCAACAATTACTTCTTCAATCACATACAAAACAGAAAAGCAGTTAACTTGGATTTTTTCCATATTTTTGCAGGGAAGCAGATAACTTGGGTTTTTTCCATATTTGTGCTTATTCTCTAGCACCACGTAAAAAATGGGATTTTTTTCCCTATTACACCACTAAAAGTGTGAACACAGATGTTCTGCTGAGCATGGTTCAGTCCATAATATAACTCAGTTTTTTGATAATAACAGTTCTTCACTTTTCTCCATCAACTTGACTAATCTGCCACTGTCCTTACCCAATAAATCATAACAGCTTACATAATTAACTCTTGTAATTATCTCCCCATGATTAGCACCAGCTGTCTACCTAATTCATAAAACTGAAATCCTCTTTCTCTTCTATACAGATATTTGAATTCCTAGTGGCAAATCTAACTTTCACCATCCACACCAAATTCCAGTGGTTTAAAAGGGGTTTAACCCAGGGTTTTTGTACTCCACCCAGTTCCCTTCAGTGTTTGCAAACACCTGCTGGTTAGAAGAACCCATAAATAAGCAGACTGTTCTCTCTAATGTATAAATTATTAGCTGGGATGTTAAAAGACGCCAGTTACACACCTTCCTTTTGGCTGCAAAGTGCACAGATAACTCGGGCAACACTGATTAGAGCCAGGATATTTTAATCCAGTGTAGCTGGAGGACAGTGAGCTGCTCCAGTTCACATTTCTGCTGCCAAATACTAATTCCTGAACAGATTTGCATATTTCTATTCTGTCACGGTGCACCTTTAGGATGCACTTTAGAGATAGCAACAGTGTTACTGTTAATTTATATTTTCCTTATCGGTGCTCCCACCACGGGAAGAGGCCAACGTGAATGAATATTATATAAGGCACCTTTAAAGTTCTTCAGCAAGTATTCATTCTCTGTGGAATTTCTTACTACCTGTTATGCTATCAAAAAGAAGGAAAAAAAAAAAAAACAAAAAAGCCTCCCCACACTTAATTTCCTCCTACAAATCTCCCTGAAAAATTATCAGAAGTTTCTACAACAGACACACAAACCTGAAATATGTTCCCACAAAATATATTGTTAGTAATAAGAAGAAAAGAAAAACATAATTAAAAGAAAAATCATGGTTATGTTCCCCCTACAAATCTTCCTGAAAAGTTATTAAAAATGTACACAACAGCCATAAAGACCTGCAATATGTTTTCACTGACTCTCCCACAACTGAGACAATAATCAGTAAAAATTAAGGTAACAAAATGCCTCTCCTAATGCATTTTGCTCTAATTTATAATGGCCTAGGAGCAAAACTTTTTAAATTCTCCTTTTGTAACGAATTTCTGCTGTTAATTGGCACTAAAGGACTGTGATGCTATTTAGGAGGCAAATATCAACTCCAGCTTCTTTTCTTATAACTCCATCATATAAGGAGCTACCTGGTAGACAGGAGAAAGAGATTTTCATGTTTTACTCATG